TAAATTACACCAATAAACAGGAGCAGGACATCCACAGAAAGAACTCCCTTACCCCTGCCACAGAATTTCTTCCTGTGTAAGCATACAGGAGAGTTAAGCATGTGAAGCATTTGGGACATTTTTATTATTGGGGACAAGAAGACTCGTGCAGAGAGGGAGATGGATGTGGAGCCTTTCATGAATTAAGAATATTTTTGAAATGACTGACTTGCCCACCGCTCCTGGACCAACACTTCACTGGAAAAAACACAATTCTTTCAAAAAAGGCTGATTTGTTTCAGGACTGAGGGTTACAGAAAGCCTGGCAATGTCTCAGAAGCAAATGTCCTAAGACTTACACAACAGGTAAGCAAATGGAAAAAGCTGTGCCTGTGAGTTTGGTGTTACTCTGTTGACTATTCAGGAAGCTTCAACCAAAGCATTTCTTCTCCTTGGCATGGTACGTCTGATAATCTATATCTAAAATTTGTGTACTGCACCAGTCAAGAAGGAAATATCAGGCTACAAGGAGAGGGGGAACATGTTCATAGCTCACATGTTCACAGCTCACTCATCCAGAGGTAAAAATAAAATAAAAAAAAAAAAAATTATGCAACTGGAAATGTAGATGATGCTTTTCTGCTTTGTATTTCAGAGATTGTAACACTTTGCTGCCAATCTCCCATACTGGTAGAGATTATACTGATGCACAATGGCTATGCAGCTGACGTATTGAAGTCCTCCCATTTTTTAGTGCAAAATGATGAGCTAATGCTATAGAATTCGCTAAGATACTTCGTGTAATTTGGAGATGACATTTCCATGTAATGGCAGATGACAGCTCCTTCATTTCTGAAAAACAACACCTAAAATTACTTCAAATTAGCATACAAAAGATATATGTGAGCTTGCAGATTACGAAAGAAGTAATAGAGACAGGATAAGGCTTAAATACCGAAAGCTTTTCATCTTAGAGAACAACCCAGATGTCTGATAACTTTAATGACTGCTGCATTCTCACAGAGAATAAGAAGCCAAAGCTATAATCTTGCAGTTTAATTTCGATAGCTGAAAGTGGTTTGGGGTGCAATTTCTGCAGTACTGGTAGTGTGAGCCAGGTATGCAATAATAATTTATTTCACCATTCCACCATCCCTCCACAAATCCCCCACAAACAACACCTACAGCAAATTATCTTTCTGCAGGTTAATATCCTAAAATTAAGTGAACACTGACTGCAGTGGTTTTTTTAATCATCCAAATAAAGAAAATCTCGAAGGCCTTGTGTAAATGCCAACGTTATATGTTTTATTTTCAATCAAGTAATTCTTTTAAACCTCACAATATCCATGACTGACAGGAAAAAAAAAAAAAAAAGACATTAGGCATGAAATGAGAATATAAAATACATGATATGTAGAAAGGCAATCAGTGCTTTAGTCCCTCAAGACAGTAAACAGGTGAAATGGTCTTCAAAATGTCAACTCGCTGTCTTTTTCTTAAAACATAGAATGCAAGTGATTTTTTTCCTTTATTTCACCTTGTAAACAACATACAAGTCAAAATGGACAATGAGGTAATCTATACTACAGAAGATAATTTAAAAACACTAGATAAGACACAGTATTAAAGACATATAGAAATCAGTGTTCACTTTGGTCTCTAGTATGGTTATTGTTATTATTACCACAAGCAACGCATACTAGTTTAAGCCAGTCTGGTGATGGTTGTCAGCCAGTTGTTGCTTAACTTAGTAATCCAAGAGGTAGTCAAAACCATTATCCTTTGTAAAGCTGGTTGCTCTTCCATTTGGTTCAAATAGAATGGTAGCAAATACCTTGGTACTTTTCAACATTCTTACAAAAACACTACCAAAGCTGTTAATTTACAGCTCTGTTTTAGCATTGGAAAGAAGGGTGTGTTCATAAAGCAACCTCTTGCTATCAGTCGGCGGTTGTAACGGGGTCACACACAACCAACGTATCCTAAAGAAGAGGCTGTTGATAAACTAAGCAAAATCAGATTGATGCATTTAATGAGGCTCTGATTGTTACTAAAACAATACTCAAATCTCATTAAGACTTCTAGAAAATTAAAATCAGTGCACCTGCACATGTACGCATCTTCCCAATTACTTTTATATCTAGCACAGGGGAATACATATATATTTTTATGATAAACATTTCTTACAGATAAATTAATTAAATTAAATTTAAGACTCAATGAGATTTCCCATGTTCTTTTATAATTCTTCTTACAAAGAATGTTACAAGATCTATAAACACTTTTTATGGGGCTCTATTCACAAAACTATGCATGACTAAGCAGGAACTCCAGGATAACACTGGTGTAGAATAGAGCTGGGCTGAAAAAGATGGCCTACAAAGGGAAAAAGTAGGAGTCAGATGTGTTCTTTGGCACTCCCTGAGAGCTAGCTAAAAGCAAAATACTGCAGATGGTACTACAGTGCCAGACTTACCAGCAGCTACAGCAAAAAGTTATTTGGCTCTTCCTCCAAATGTTCTTCACAGCTTAATTTCTTTAGTTTGTAAATAGATTCCATTAACTCTCCCCAGGGGAGAATATAAAGTATCTCACGATGTCCCTTATGGTTAGATCAAAATTGAGTGTTTTGGAGTGAAGGAGATGGAGAGATTTCGTTTTGGGTTTAACCTTATCTCCAGTATTGTCTGAAGAAATATACATCTCTCCGAGCTGGTACCTGAGCTCTTTCTACTGAAATGAGTTTTATTGTGAGGCATTCTGGCAAGGACGGGCTGGTGAATAGGGGAAACCAAGGCTGAGCCAATGCTGTAGAACATTAATTACATCCTTAGATTTGAAGGAAGAATCCCAAATTCAAGTCTGTGCCTCTTCCCGTCAAGTGTTATTTGCTTATTTGGAGCAGCCTATTGAAGGAGCGTAATTACATTTTTTTTATTTTTTATTTTTTTCCTACAGCAGCCCAGTGCTAAGTAAGTAGTTACCTGCCATAGCTTGCTCTGCTATGTTTAACTCAGGCATGTATACTTTTGTCTGCTTGGGAGATATTTTTTGTGAACAGTGCCCATCATCCTTTAGACAGAAAAATAAAAACTTCTAAAGAAATGTCTGGAAACTTCTCATCATTTCAGATGGTTGCTTCATCTTAAACAAGTATTTGCCGTGAAGTATGCAGTGGTGAAACATCAGTTACATATTCAGTACAGATAAAAAGTATGTACCATAGATCAACAGCCACCTTTAAGGCCAGAGCAGCACAAAGGTGTGTTTATGCAGTAAATATGAGGTAGCCTTTTGCTGTAAACAGAATAATAATTTTATTGTCGCCTATGTAAACAAAGTGGGCTTGATGTCTTTGTGGTTTTTTTTCCCCCTCCCTCCCACCCCCTCCCCTGCTAGAAAAGCTAAGCACCATAACTCCAACTCGAAGCCAGTGGGAGCTGTGGTTGTGCAGCTTCTCTGAAAGCTCAGACCCTGTGAATGTAGACACATATGCTCACATAAGCAACCGGTACAGAATGCCACTTTTTCACTTCACAGGAACTTATAATACAAAACGCTGAAATCTGATTATCAGAAATGTAGGTCTATGTCAACTCAGAGGTAGTTACTAACATCAGTACATAATACTTATAGAGAGATAAAAAGGGCTAAGTCTATCTGGTTTGTTCTGAGTAAGTCGGTAGACTATTCTGTAAAGTAAAAACAACATTACATGGTATATTCCCTGAGCAAAGTTCTTTGTCCTGAGTATGTTATGTAATAGTGATAACATTCTAATATATAAAAATAAAACCTTAAGCTATCAACAATAAGATAGGGTTTGGTATGTGCTCTTTGCAGTTCAGTCTGACTTCGGTGCACACAGTGATTTCAAACAGCACCAATAAAAATCTGCCCATTGAAAATATTTCCTCATCTCAGCTCTGAACTTCTTACATATAAACAGGGAATGACCAGTTCTCAAATCCACAATTGCCTATTTCTATAAGGAACTTTGGTTTAAACATTCAAAGTGACCTAAGTTTTGCATCTTTGCTGTTTAACCTGGGTTTTTACACCGGCTAGAAGGTTAAGCAATGCCACTTTGATTTGTCTACATAATTTAAATAGGTTTACTATCCTCACGTAAGGCAAGGAAGTTCTCTATAGATATATCACATTCAATATCGTCAAAGGTAAGCTTTGCATTTAGCACACTGAGAACTTCAGTACAAACCATTGAGATTCTCGCAAACACTGGCTAGGAATTCACACAAAATAATTGTCTGGAAATTGTGCCCTTTGCTGAGGCTTTTTCTTACTGCCTGTTTACTGAAGCAGCAGCAGCAGCAGCACAAGTCTCAACCGGCAGGACAGTTGGGAAGGGAGCGGCCACACAGTGAGCCATCGGCTGCAGGAGTTCCAACATCTGGGACTTGGGCTCACTGCAGCCTCCCATGCGGGCTGTTTCTTCTGTTTGATTATCTTAGCTTAAACCTACCTGACTCTTTCAAGCTTTAACAGCCTGCGCTTATTGCCAATGCTAAGGATTACATACATTTCTCTAATTAACTTACATCTGCAATGGGATTTGTCAAAGTATGTTATCGTACGTATGACTTGGTAATGTAGAAGTTACAAATGGAAAGTGACTTGAAGTTTTGACAGGCTCCAACTCTATTAACCCCCAGCAAGGGCTGCAGCCCAGGGAGTCTCACTCTGAGACCACCGATCTTCCTCCTCTGTAATGCAGAAGTGTGTGGTCCCAGCACACACCAGACCATGGCTGGTCAGCAGCAGTCTCCCGTTCACAAGAAGCAGGTGATGTCCATGGCTTCTGGCAAGTTTGCAGGTGCCTTTTCACTCAGGCTTGTACACAGCAGGCACCTGTCCTTCTTTAATGTACACGTGCTGCATCATCAGAAAGAGAGGCTGGCTAAGCAACTGTGAGTACCCAATTACCTTTTATCTTAAGGAACTATTTATCTCAGGATCTTATTAGTTTTGCATTTCTTTTTCTTTAGAAACAAAACAGACAACAACAACAAAAATCCCTACACAATTCTCCCAACAGTAAATAAGGGACAAGTCCCCTTCAAATTGCAGGGCACTACCTGGGACCAAGAGAAGTTGCTGCTGCTGCTGCTGCTGCTACTACTGCCACCAAGGTCCCCTAAACGTTCACAGAATACAAAAGGTTCAACAGAATGGTATCCCGATACCACTCAAAGAGGTTTGTTCTTTAACAACTTACACAGTCTCCCCTACACAACAATCATCTAAATTACAGTTACACTCATATTACTTTAACAAAACATTTTGAGAAACCAGCACAGAAACTACACATTCATTGTCTTTTCTGGAGCTTTAAACTCCTTACCACCAAAGGACGGTGGCAATGAGAGCTATGTTTAGTTGTGACACTGCCCTTCTGAGGCATGGGGGTGGAGGGGTGCGAATGGGGAAAGTGATGTTCTGTGGAGATGACAAAGAAAGTAACTCAAATTGATGGCTGGGGGATGTCTTAGTATCTTTAGTACCATATGGCAGCTTTAAAATATGAACATATCCTTTGGTTCACAAGAAAGTAACAGCCTTTATCTTAGTTCTGAGTGTGGTTTTTCAGATTTGGTTTGTTTCATTTTGCGAGGTTTCTTGGGTTTTCTTATTTGTTTTTTGAACATGTTTGAAAACAGATTCTGGGAACGAGTTCAGGAACATTTATGGGTACTGTGTCTATTGCTTCACAGTAACACTGTGGGAGCTGGAGAGTGTCCTGATGAAAAAAATATATACTCATAGATACGTATACATACACGCACGTGCACACTCACACACACATACAGAAGGTAAAATGCAATGCACCCTGCTCAAATGGATTTTGCTTGGAGTGATTTGTCTATTAAAGAAAAAAAAAATCACAGTTCCTCAACAGTAGTTAAAATTCCACATCAGCTACTGATAATGAAATTATTTCCCCTGTACTTGCATGAGGTAGACATCCCAAGAGGATAAAGAAAATGGAAAGGTACGGAAAATGCTTTAAGTTTTTTTCCTTTTCTGAACAGAAGGCCCCTTTCTGCTTGGTTCTTCGGGTGATGCAGATAACTTACTTGAAGAAGCTTCTTGTGGTGACCTGCCTGAACGCTCTGAGATCTCTGACCTTCCCTCCTGAGAATACGATGGAGATGAATAGCCATACGTTCCTCCCCCTTCTCTCAGGAAAGCAGAAGTGGAAGGCTGGGGTTCAGCTTCATGTCTTCCCTGAGAACTAGTGGGCTGTTGTGAAACAGTTTTATGGGGGCAGTTAGCCACCATGTGCATGATGCTCTGACAGTAATGGCACTTCTTTGGCTGTGGAGGTAGACTACATTCTTTAGCATGGTGATCGAGGCCACCACAGTTGTAGCATCTAGAAATGAAAAGAGACAGCTGGTTATAAAATGCAGCATGAAATTGTCAAGATTTTTTTATGCATCATAAACTCAGAGGGCAACCTGTCTGCTGGTGAAGCAGCAGGAGCATCTGCACTGACATCCCACTGCCGCAAGCAGTTTTGCTTTTTAAGTAACACACTTGGAATGCGCCCCTTTGTCATGCTGGTAAAAAACAACAACAAAAAAAAACAAACAACAAACCAAATACTTACTGGGAAATGGATTCTGTTACCATAGTCCTTATCAGTCAGTATCTTGCTATGAAAAACCTTGGTACTCCTTGAACAAAAAGACCAGCCTTAAGTAGCTCCTAACTTGCGGGACCTTTCTACTGGCTGACAGGGGCTGAATCTGTTGGCAAGCACAAGCAGGGGCCTAATTATACTTTGATGAAAGCCTTTAGATGCCTCAGTGCCCTCGGTGGTTAAGATGAGCCCCTGCACCATGAGAACAACACTGCAAGGATCCCGCTGTCAAAAAAGCCACTGGCACTGTACAACTACATTAGGAAACCCTGCTGCACACTGAGAATTTCATGAATACAACGCTAAAATCCTGAATGCAAAAATCAAATAAACAAGCAAAAACCCTGCGTCGGCCCTTCTTCCTGGCTCTCCCCAGAGGAGAGATGCTGGGGTTCAGACATAGCTCCGACCCCACTAGAGGGCACCAAATATTCATGCATCTCTGCAGCAAACAGCTCTGCTTACCCAAGTATTTATACATTCAACTCCTGTGAGCTACTACTTCATATGCCCAACAAGACAGACATTTCGGAGCAGGGTGAGGAGAGGGGGCAGCCGCCAGGACCCAGCTCTTCACTCAGGGTGATGTTTCAGTTCATGAGTTGCTGGGTCATGGCCATAAAGAGAAACAAACAGGGAAAAGACGTTTGGCCTTTCCTAAGGAGCTTCCTCAGATTATGCCATGTCTCCTAGAATGTGCTGCCTTTTCTCTGATACTCTGTGCCCAAAAACTCTTCAGCCTCATAAGAGATCACGTCTGAAACCCTGCCTCAGTTAAGGCACACCAAGAGGAGGGTTGCAGCCAAGCTTTTACGATGCTTATGTTTCAGAGGGTTGGTAATGGCTTTTATGGTTTAAATTCAAAACAAAATAAATAGAGCCCTAGCAAGAGTCATAAAACAGGGTTTGTTTGTTTTCTCTTGGAATTCCCAAACCGCACTGCAAGTGGTGGTGACCTGGGGTGTCATCCTCAAAAGAACAGCTGCCAGAGGCAGACACACGGCAGAGCACCTCTTCCAAGCTGCAGGGGCAACAGCAAGTCTTTAAAATGGCCCAAATGTAAACACTTCTATTAATCTTATTATCAAGAAATCTCCAACAGTTCTTTGCTCTTTACTCCCTCTTTATAACATGCACCAGGAATGTGAACCCTTGAGTTATATTAATCTGACACCTGATACAGGGAAATAATTACCTGATGAAATTATGCTGGTCATGTCCACCACTGGACTTCTTACTTTCACTATTTTTCTATGGTTCTCCTTCTTTTGTATTACAAATACTTGCACCGAATGCATATGGATTAAATCAACTATCATCTTAGCATTCTGCTGAAGAGAACTAACCCGATAATGATTTTTTTTTTTTCTTTCCCTTAATTGCAAGAATCAATTAAAAAGAAAATAGCACAAATACTCATGCTTGGTACAAGCATGAAGAATTCAAGAAGACTCTATGTACAAGCAACTGCAGGTATATATATAATCATGCAACGTGCTTTTGCTCAAGCCCACATCAAAATCTTCAGATTCCTGAGCAGTACCACGGCACTGTTCTGAGCTTTCATTCAGTAATCACTGTTAGTCTACATAAACCCAAGAAGTTTTGCCCATGCAAAGCTGTATATATAGCTGGTGTCTCACAGAATATATGTTGTCTACATAAAAATGTTACTGATAAAACCTGTGTAATTGATAAAAAGGCTACAAAATGGCTGTTGAAGTTCACAGAACCGCTCTAAAGAAACAGTCCCAAGAGCCTCTCTATTTATATTTCTTTTTCCTTGCTAGCAAGATGCTAACCCTATCTTTATTTCAAGAGACTAACAGAAAATTTTAGGTGAAATGGTTCTACTTCTTCACCATCAGCGTACAGAATTACGTGATTTTCAGAGAAATTTGAAGGCTATGCCAGCTTTAGTCTGCCTGTACATAGTATGGAATAACTCATGAGTAAATGAAGTGTAAAGCTTCCCTTCAGCCAAGGAGAGAATACGTAGATGCCCCACTGTCATTTCGTACACATCTTCCTAGCAAAAAAATACTAAACATATTGTAAAATATGAACATCCTAGTTTAAGACAGAAACATTAAGCCTTTTTCCTTGCAGTATAAAAAGTTTTAAGTTAATAAACAGTATTAACCAAGTGCTTTTTTTCCAAATCATTGTAGGTATTTTTAAATTAATGGCCTTGCTTAACAGCAGCATTCAGTCTTAACAGGCATTCAACTATATTTCCCTGACAGGTTTACTAAACATCCTCTGGTTAAAATGATAAGACAGTAAAACTTGCAATTGGAAAAACATAGGAACAGCAACAAGACCCCTACAAGAACAGCAACAACAAAACCTCTTAAATGTTTTACTTTCTCTCCCCCCAGTAAATACAGCTAGGACTTCACAAATGTGGTATTTATTATAATGAAGGTTATATTAAAGAATGGTATTTATTAATGTCCTGTGAGTTTGCTTCTAGCAGTGAACTAATTCCTAGTTTTTTTTAAATCTAAGTACAGCATAATACAACATTACTCATGAGCGTGCCTTCAGGAAAAAGTGCATTTTACCTTGATTATGAAACACAGAATTTTATAGCTGCAATGCATTTGTGTTGGCTTCCTTCTGTAACATCACATTTATTTAGGATCATCAAAAAAACTTTGAAAATAGGTTAAAGGGCTTCAGTAGCAGAGGAGGTGGTAGCCGTGGACAAATCAATTTAATCAGTCACTATGGTATGCGCTGTGTTATCCAATTCAGTGAACCATTTCACCTCACCAATTGACCAAGAACCTGCTGTCAGGGCCCCCGTTTCCACTCAAGAGGCCTCGGTCACCTTTTGCATATATTTTTATCAATACATCTTACTTGCAAAATATTCTCTGCTTTTATTCAAATCCCTTGTAAAATGTCACTGTAAAATAAAATCCTGTCTGCAGCCGCTGTAATTAAACTATGATTTGCCTTTTCAGGAATGCTTTTTGTGACTAACCAACCCAAGCATCTGGCTATAGTGTCGCATTAGAATACGTATGTGCCAGCCTGGCTGTGCCTGGACTTAAACAGGGGGGTGGTATTCACTCCCTTCTTTTAACTATGTATTCATTCCTTGTCAATCACTCCTACCAAGAGAAGAGATCACACCCCACACTCAGAAGCCTTCCCTCTCAAGGGATTTACACCCAAAGGAAATGGGCAGCCATCTCGGGAGCTCACAAATGACACCACGTGGCAGCATCCACGCACATTAAGGTATGGTATTAACCCTTTGTCCAAAACGCTTCAGCTCTTGGCTTGTCTCTGCCGTATAAACCTACGTTACAACATAATGAAAACTGATAATGTAGATACTTGCACACAGATTTATGTATCCACAGTGCTATCTCTACAAATACCTAGGACAACACGCAAGCTGGCTCCTGCTAAGAAAATCAGCACGCTCTCACTCAACTGTGTTTTCAAAAACTCTACCTAAGTGCAACTGCAGTAAATACTTCTTCAGAAACACCATGGAAATAATGTAAGTTAGACACAAAGTAAAGCTGCCTGTGCTCATTGCATCATGAGATGAATAAACCACAAGAAGCCCTTAGAAGTGCCTCTACAGTAGGAACAACCCTTAAAAAAATGCAACAGCAAGAAAGATTCCTAAAAAAGGAATCTCCTCTCACGATTTACTGCTAGCTTTAGGCTCAACATAATGCAACAATGTAAATAGAGATGGCAATTATCCTGAATGGGAATCCTTCCTTCACTACAGCAGGGGCAGGAAGGGGGGATCAGGACTCGTCAATGATACAAAAAGGATGAAGATTTTAATGAAGGAATATCTTGAGGAACTTATCTAGCACTGTATTTCAGTACTCTCCAAAAACCAGTAGCATTAATTTCTACTAATAAAGAAAGAACATATCACAAGATTAAACACACTTCTAAACTCTCCTTTGCTATGGATTTGTGTTTACACAGAACTACACACACAAGAAACAAATGAACAAGCAGAAAGCCTATGGATTCCAACATAATCTATTGCGTTAATTCCAAAAAGCCGATGACCACAAATTCACGACAAGTACTCCAAACCACAACCAAATGCAAAAACAAAATAAAATATAGTTTTCAGCTGTTCTGCCTTGTCCCAGTAGTCCCCTCATAGTCAGGAAGCAAGCACTCTCTAACCCTCTCACCTTTAGCATGACAACACAGCCATCAAACCAACATGTTTCTCACAACAACAGCTCAGCTGAGCTAAGCAGTAAGGAGGGTAAGCACAACCGCTTGCTTCTTCATTCTGCTTCACGTAATATGATTTGGATGATAATCCAATATATACGACAAGAGGAGGATCATTTGTGTGGCTCCACTCTGTTGGGGGAAAAGCATTAGGGTTGCCCTAGTGACTATTTTTGGGGGTAGTGGTTTTCATATCTGATGGAGCTCGCAAAGGGAAGTAAGGAGGAAGAGTGCAGAATGTCTGAAATAATTCACTGTGATATTCCCAACACCAGCTCCCCTTTCTATTTTTTGGAATGCTATCAGATAACAAAAGCAGCACCGTGGTAAACAATGCTTCATCCAGCAGTTCAAATGCTTTGAAAAACAGCTAGGTTTCATAATGGCGTATGCAACTATGATGTTTTCACAACGTGCTGAAAGCCAGCAAAGCAGTTAAAGCGGATCAAATAATTACAAGGGAATGCTTAAAGCCATACCTGGCTAGATATGCTGTC